TTGCTCACTTGGATAGTGGTGAAGAAAGTAGGGAAGATCAGCTTGAAAAGACACTGAGAGATAGGAGGACTTGGAGGCTTCCAGTAATTGGCTCCCTGGTGGCCAGCTTCACCAGAAGGGGGTTTGGGACCAGCTGGCCCTCAGGCTGATATTCGAACTTTATTAATAAAAAGAATGTCTAGGTCCTCGGGAGCCCAGTCGGGGCCCCATCCCCATCCCCAAGACAGTCGGCGCTCTTCCGGGCCATCCCTGTTATTTCCCTCTTGGTACAAGGACTGCAAGTGGCTTCTCTCCTTGAGGCAACACAGGAGCCCCGTGTCAGCCGACACGGTATCCGACTCTCTTGCTCAGCATCTGTGTGCTTTGGGCAAATTCCTCAAAGGCTCTCTGCCCCCATTTCCTCAGGTGTAAAGTGGAGTTGAAACAGCCCAGTGATCAAGTGAAACTGTGTGTGTGAAGGGCTGACGACAGGGTGTGCGGCACACTAAAGCCACGTTAGGCTGGAAGACCAGCCCGACGTGATCAGGAGCTTACCACCATGAGGGCAGTTCAGTGAAGGCATTCTTTGTCCTCCGAGGCTAGAGGGGTAGGTCAGTACCACTTTGAGACTCGGTGAGCCCACGGAATGTGGTGTCCTGGAGGGCTTTCCTGCCATCATGCTCACGAGGTGGGCTGGCTGTCCAGGAATCATTGTTCCCAGTGCCTCTGCTACTTGGTTCAATAATATGTCTAGAGGTTTTGAGGTTTGAGCTCTGTGACAGTGTCCCATTTGAGAAGTAACAGGACATCCATTATTGCAAGTGCAATTCAGGTATAAGCCAAAAGCAAAAGTTTAAAATTCAAATTAACTACAGACCTAGGAGCCCTGATAGTACTGCTAAGTCCACTTTGGATGGTTCATTTCCAGGTTGCTGGTTCAAACCCCCACCCCCACCCCGTTGCTCTGCGGCTGAAAGACGACCGGGTCTGTCTGTTCTGAAAGACGGACAGTCTTGGGTCTTCTGGAGTCGCCATGAGTTGGAATTGAGTTAATGGTGCTGGGTTTTGTTTGTTTATTAGTTTTGGTTCCATCAACAAAGTTCCTAAAAAGACTGTCTCCTTTCTCCCAGGGAAACCTCAAACTAAAGCCATGCCTTGTTCTCAGCTCCTAGCGTCCCCAAGTGGTACAGTGGTTCGGGGCTTGGCTGCCCTTCACAAAGTCTTGGCAGACTGAGCCCACCCGGCGACTCAGGGCCTGGTGATCCCCTCCTGCAAACATGAAAGAGCAAGCCCTTGACCGTACATGCATTCTGATGAGTCAGCGCCTAGATAGGGATTCCCAGACCGTCAATTTTTAAAAAATCATCTTATTGGGAGTTTTTACAGATATTATGACAATCTGTAATTTAACCAGGTCAAGATAATTGCTACCACCGTCGTTTTTAAAACGTTTTCTTTCTTCTTGAACTCTTTGATATCAGCTCCCCTTTATCCCCTCCCTCTCCCACCTTACCCACTAGTAACCCTTATTTGTACATTAAAAATTATTATTATCATCATTATTTTGCCATATCTTTCATGGATACAGTGGATCGTGTAAGATATGGCAGACTGTCGGTTTTTACAGTCATAGACAGCCTCATGTTTTCTTTTTGGAATGGTTAGTGGGTTTGAACCTCAAACTCTGTGGTTAACAGCCCAGCACCCAACCCACAGCACCACTAGGGCTCCTTTCCACAAATATTAAAACCAATAAACCAAACCCACTGTCATCAAGTCAATTCTGACTCATAACAACCCAATGTGTAAGATTTCTGAGGCTATAAATCTTAACAGGAACAGGCAGCCTCATTTTTCTCCCATAGAATGGCTTGTGGATTTGAACCACAGACCTTGCAATTAGAGGAGTTCAACATTTACCCCACAGTGGAATCCAGGGCTCCTTTTCCAGAATACTGTAGCCTAGATAACTCAATGGATCAATTCTACTTGGTCACACAAGGTCGGCAAGCATTGGAGTCAACTTGACAACAAGTAACATGAGGCCACTCACTCAGGTGACAAGGACATGCTAATACTATGATCAAGAGTGCAGGTTCAGCTTCCTCCCTGTGGGAAGGCAGAAAGAAAAGTCCAAAGCTCAATCATTTCAGCACAGCTTTATATCCTGTGGATACCCAGGAAAGAGGTACCAAAAGTGGAAATGGCCAAGACAGCCCATCTACATGCCCACCTTCCTGGATAAATGGGTCAGGAGATTGTCCCTGTGTGGTGTGATGCGTGGCTCTTCCTAAATGGTGTGCTTGTTTTTATTTCCCACCCTTAGGTGTCTTTCATTTGGAGGGCAGGAGCATCTCTGTCTCTTCTCTTTTTTTTTCATCTAAGAGGACAGATTTCTGTTTTCAACTGAATTGTGATGTTTTCAAGGAAGATTAGCGGAACGCCATTCGTGGGCGTAAGAATTTGCCCTGAGGCATTCGCTGAGAACTGGGTGGGTGAAGGGGGCCTGAGGCACAATGGTGGCAGCAGGAGATGAGCGCAGAACCAGGGTCTGGAGGTCTGGATTCAGGTCCCTGCGGTCACAGACAGCTGGGTCATACAAGCGAGTGACTTCACCCTGGCCTCAGTTTCCTCACTGTGAATGTGAGGGTTTGGTTTAGATCAGTGGTTCTCAACCGTCTTAATGCCGCTACCCTTTTATACGGTTCCTCGTGTTGTGGTGACCCCCCCAACCATCAAATTATTTTCATTGCTACTTCATAATTTTGTTACTGTTATGAATCGGGCAACCCCTGTGAAAGGGTTGTTCGACCCCCAAAGGGGTCTCGACCCACGTGTTGAGAACCGCTGGTTTAGATAATCTGAGACGAGGGAAAGGGATGAAGGTCAGGGGCCTCTGGTGTAATGTAGTGTCAGTCCTCAGGCTGTGTGTCTGTACTAGCGTGGGTATCCTTCTTTTCTGTCATGCACACTTTGTTAGTCATGAGAATGGCTTTTTCTGAGAGGTTCACTGGGAACCAGACTGGGGTCGGTCTTGCTAGGGGGAGTTCCATTGAACACTGCTTCATGTCCAAGTGGCACTGCCTCCTGGCAGCACCCTGAAGAGCAATAGCTAGCTTCGTGGGTCCCATGGAGTTCCCTGGAGGAGCTGTCCCTTTGTTTTCTGAGACTGGGCTATCTCTTTGAGGGACACTGCATATAAAGGCCTTGGCAGCATTAAATTCCCTCTACTCTATTCTATACCTCCCTCCCAGCATTTGTAGGATAACAAAGAGCCACAGCTTTGCCTTGCTAACACACATGACTACTACTCTTGCACCACCTTCCTCTGTAACCACGCAGAACCTGGGTACTTCCTATTGACCTTGACCATTGTTTTTCAGGTGTTAAGCCCCACTTATAAGCAAAGGAATGAAGACTTCAGAAAGCTCTTTAAGCAACTTCCAGACACGGAGCGCCTCATTGTTGGTGAGCTGGGTGACTGTAGGGGGAGCAGGAAGTTAGGGAGTCCCAGGCTGCTTCTGTTTAGAGGAAGAAGCTGGCTTAGAGCCAACTCTCCTTGTGGTAACAGGAAAAGAGAATCTAGACCACTGAGCGCAGTCCTTGGGCTGTAGGGCTGGGCCCCAGGTCTGTAACAGCCTCCAGCTCCCACTGGAAGGAGCCACTACACATCTGCAGCTGGCCAAGAATTCAAAGGCTGGGGAGTAACTGTAAGGGGTTGTGAGGGTGCAGGGGTGGGGGGTGGAGTGCGGCCCAGGTAGTTAAATTTCCTTGACCTTTTCGGCCTTCAGCTTCTGCGTCACTCACTCCCACTATCTTATTCATGCCGCTCTTTATTCACAGCATATATTGCATCCTCGTCAGTGGTGGGCTATTAGGACTCTTAGTGCTGGTGGGAGGAATGCCCTGCGTGGTGCGGTGGTAGCATGTTTCTTACCTCTAAGCTCCCCTGCCCTCCATCCATTCACAGATTACTCATGTGCACTCCAAAGAGACATTCTTCTTCAGGGCCGACTCTACCTCTCTGAAAACTGGATCTGCTTCTACAGCAACATCTTCCGCTGGGAAACTCTGGTAAAGACCTGGGTTTGCTCTTTGGGCTTCCCCTTGACCAAGGCTGAGCACACTGACCCCACTTTTTCCCTTTTCAACAAACCCAGTGCTGTGCTTATTATGCCTTAGACACAATGAACAGAAACATGCCCCCTGCACCTTGAAGGATATGTAATTCTGAGTCCCAGGAATGGGATCTCCTTTTACAAAGCCTTCTTTCCTCTTCCTCTTGGGTGTGGGAGAGATTGTTGAGAGCATTTTCTTTTGGCAGCGGCAGTAAATATTGCCACTGGTCACTGCAGAAGGCAGCATAGCAGAGTAGAAAAGATCTTGGCTTTGGAACTCAGAGGAACTGGCTTGTACACTTTCTGAGATCTGCTGCTCATTAGCTATGTTAGGTTCATCATTTATTCTGTCTCTGCCTTTGTTTCTTCATCGTCATTTAAGGTGAGGAAAAAGATAAATGAGACTTTTATGGTCCCATTCAGCACCACTGTTTCTTTGCATGGCAAATGATGATGGGATAGATTGTGTGGAAATGAGAAAGCACCCAGGACCAAGAGTCAGGATATCCTTGGGCTCCAGCTGAGGCTTGGTTATATCCACGTGCTTGGATTGCTATGAAAGGAGGGGTTAACCAGCTGATCTTGGCTTTAGAAATATGGAAGCTTTACTTCCTGTGTACCATAAGCACACTCTTTGCCTGATTCTGTAATGCTTCTTGCTTGTTGTGTGTTCTCTGTTCTGGTGGGAATGCCAGCTGGCAGTCCGGTTGAAAGACATCTGCTCTATGACTAAAGAAAAAACAGCTCGCCTCATTCCCAATGCCATCCAAGTTTGCACTGACTCAGAAAAGGTAAGTGGAGCCCGACACTGTGCTCTCCACTCCCAGCACACCCTGGTGACCCTATTCTCATACTTCTGCTCTGAACTTGCCCTCATGGTAGCTGTTAGAAGTGAGGGATAGAGATTACAGGAAGAGTCTCCATGGTGGGCAAGGGAGTTGGATTCTGAGCCAGGAGTGAGGGTGGGGGAATAGAACTTTGAATTTGGAGCCAGAACATCAGAATTTGATTCCTGTGACACAGTAAGCATTTGTGCTGGGCTGGATTGACTAGAGAAACAAATCAAAGCCACTTACAGATGTATAAGACAGAGCTTTATATCAAGAAGTAATTATTTATTGAGAAAATAGCCCAGTTCAGCTTGAGTCTCTAAGTCTCATACTAGTCCATAAGTTCCTCTTCAGACTGACACAGCTGCGTGCAATGATGCAGAATGCAGGAAGGTCACAGGCTGGTGGGTGCAGAGTCGTGCGCATCCAATGGCAGTGGAAGCATCACAGGGCTCTGGCAGGTCTCAGAGTGGCCCGCCAGCAGGAAGGTGAAGGCAGAGAGAGAGAGGATGTTGCCAGAATCCTCATGAGAAGGTCATGCTCACAAGGAGGTTCCATCAGGCTGTAACCTGATTGACAGGCTAAACTTCACCCCTATTCTTTTTTTATAACTTCAAGTTGACATGAAATTAGGTAGGTACCACAACATTCTATGTAACTTCTCTGATCTTCACTTCTCTCATATATAAAATGGAACCAGCAAGACTTTTTTTTAGCAGAGTTTGAAATGCCGTCACCTAGGACATCAAGTAAAAAAGTATTGCTACAAAATCTAGAACTCTTTATTAAGTGAAAGTATTGAAACGTGAAGCTATTGTTTCTCAGCATATCTTCCATATAAGTCAATAAATTTCTGAAGGTTGGATTTCTGTCTCAGTTATACTAACTACTGAAGAATTCTGCACTCTTTACACCACATCAAAACAGTAGTTTGGGCATCCTCCAGGGACTCAAATTATGCTGCTTTTTAAATGCTCTTTGAGTTTGTAATACAAGAAGAAGCCTCCAGGGGCAAGATCAAGCCTGTAGGGTGGAGGGGGTAGGGTTCCTCAAGGAAATTCTTAGAGGCCAGCCCTCACTGTCCTGTAAAACAGCCCTGTGACCGTAAGCATACACACTATGTAAGTATGAACTCATCCATAGCTGCTACATAGTCTCTGAGCTCAGTGTATCTACCGGTTCATTGTTGGTGAGAAAAAAGTATCTTGGAACAGCTTTCCTGGCTTTTTTTCTTAGCTGTACAGTTTTCAGTGTTCTTGAAACTTCAAAAAGAAGTCCCCATGATTGTCCTGTGTTCTTAGAAAATCTATCAAGATTACACCTTAGGGATCCCAAAACACAGTCACCGTCACCTTCCAAGCTTACCTACCTTGACTTGAAATTTCCCAGAGGATCCTCTTGGAAGCCAGTGTTTTGACTGAACCTTAAACAGACTGTCTCATGACTAAGTATTACTAAGAAAACCTGTCGGCAGCCCTCCACTGATGGCAGATACACGCTTAAACACACTTTGCTTGGAATAAATCAATGCATGTATGAACGGAACCCTAGCAGCAATCCTTTTTGACTTAGCCTTCTATTTGAAAACACTACATTGGAAGCTTAATTGCTATATACATGCAGATTATGATTTCTGTGTGTCAGTCTAGCAGCTGATCACTCAAGGAAGTAATCCAAGGAGTCTGATATGGTGTGATTGTCCAGCTCACGTGGAGGAATTTGGTAGATAAAACCTACGACAGTAAATACTGTGATCTTTTACCTTAAACCAAAACAGGGAGATTGATAGATTTAGGCCTAGGTATGGATTAGCTTCCTGCAGAAAATGAGGTCTACATTTCTCTTGAACTTGGGCAGGTCAGTGGCTTTGGGGTCAGGAAGTCTTTGGTTCCGGTACTTAGCAGCTCTCTGATTATACCAGATGCTAGACCTCACTGCCTGCATGTTGGCAGTTGTGTATATACTTTCCAAGGGTTTTTGTGTGGTTTCAATGAAACAGCCCCAATGGAGCGTGTGCGGGAGAAGGCAGGGCTTTCTACTCCCTTAAGCGTGCAGAGTCTTTCTACTCTGCCCTGTGCTCATTGCGAGTTGGCATTGACTCGATGGCAGCGCGTTTGGTTTTCGTCTGGACTCTCTTACACCTGTGCAGTGGAAACTTCGGTTTCTGTGGCCTTCGGGACCGCTTTCTGTTTTATTCGCTGATGCTTCCACAAATAGTTAGAATAGCACCTGTTACCTTCTAAGTAAAGCTTGGGGAATTAGTTATTTATATGTTTAATCACCCCATTAGGGGCTCACACAACTCCTATCACAATCCACACATACATCAAGTGTGCAAAGCGCATCCGCACATTCACTGCCCTCACCATTCTCAAAACATTTTCTCTCCACCGAAGCCCCCGGCACCAGGCCCTCACCCTTCTCCCTCTCCCGTCCCCCGCAAGCCCTTGACAATTTATAAATTGTTATTGTGTCATCTTTCCCTGTCTGACGTCTCCCTCCACCCACATCTCGGCTGTCTGTCCCCCAGGGAGGAGGCCACACACAGTTCCCCGTAATCGGCTCTCTCCCTCCCTCCCACCTACCCTCCCTCTACCCTCCCAACATCGCCACTCACACCACCAGTCCCGCAGGGATCATCCTTCCTGGACTCCCCGTATCCCCAGTTCCTATCTGCACCAGTGTACATCCTCTGGTCCAGCCAGACTTGCAAGGTCGAATTCGTGTCATGATAGTGGGAGCGGGGAGGAAACATTTAGGAACTAGAGGAAAATTGTATTTTTCATCATTGCTACATCACACCCTGACTGGCTCGTCTCCTCCCTGAGACCCCTCTGCAAGGGGATCTCCAGTGGTCTACTCATGGGCTTTGGGTCTCCACTCCGCACTCCCCCCATCATTCACTATGGCAAGACTTTTTGTTCTGACGATGCCTTATACCTGATCCCTTCGACACCCTGCGATTGCATAGGCTGGTGTGCTTCCTCCACGCGGGCCCTGCTGCCCCTGAGCCTGATGGCCACTTGACCACCCTCAAGCTTGGGGAATTATTGAAGGATATGCTTACAGTGGGCCCTTAGAATCCCCAGTTACCTGGGCCTTCAGTGTGCTGGCCTGCCTCTTTAAAGTCCCTTTGCCATGATCACAGAGAACTAAGAATGAACAGTATTTGGGGATGTAACTGGTAACTTTTCTCCAATCTAGCACTTTTTTACTTCATTTGGAGCCCGAGACAGGACGTATATGATGATGTTCCGGCTTTGGCAGAATGCACTCCTAGAGAAGGTAAGCTCTGTCCATGACTGACTTCCTTCGGCCTCAGGATGCGCACGGACCAGAAACCTCCGTGCTCTCCAGGGATGGACCTTTTGGAGAGGTGTTTGTATTGTGGCTTTGGCCACTGTTCTGGAAAGCCCCAGACTTGCCATTTCACACTGGTAGTGTTGCCCTGAGCCCTGGAAGTAGCATATCCACTTACGTGAATGAGCTCCATGCAGTCAGCAGTAAGGTACTCATCCCCTCAGGCCCTGCCCTGCCGGCTGACTGCTCCAGTGTTTAAAGAACACCCCGAGGGACATAACTGAGGCCAGTGTCATGGTCTTGCCCCCTCAGACACCCTTGGGGTGTTGGGAAACAACCTCCAATCCAGGAAAAAGACATAAGGAAGTGAGTGTGTGTGTGTGTGTGTGTGTGTATGTGTGTGAGATGACATATATGTGTATAAGTGTATGCATGAATCTTCCTGGGCTTTTGCCCAAACTCATTATTATCTGAAGACAATTGGTAGATTTATTATTTAGAGTTTCTGCTAACTTGAGGATCTCTACCTCTATTGTAAATCCTAATCAGTTACTTGATTGGAGATCCTCTGCCACTTATCAAGAAGGGTAAAACGATAATGTATTTGAGTCTCAATGGCAGGTTTGAATTTTCAGCCGTTACCCACTGTCATTTCTAAGTAAGACATAGATCCATGCCTGTGGTTCCCAGATGTCCTCACAGAATCCTTCCTGATGAACAGGGACATCTAGCTGCTTATCCTGACAGTGGTCAGGTAAGCTGAGCCAGGTGGTCATAACTGAAGTGAATTGTGAAGAAGCATAGGGTATAGTTTAGCCCAAAAGGCCAATATGTCCCAGGCAAGGTTGTTGGTGCACATAAGTCAGGAACTGGGAGTGGGGGTCTCGGCCAAGGAAACAGATGCCTTCCTCTGCAACTGTGGAGGTCAATTCAGAGAACCGCCAGCCCCGCGATGGGCAGGGCTCTGAAGTCATGGAACCAGAACTCTGGCTTCTGACACCCCAACAGCTCCCTATTTCTTAAGCCATACCTTGGAAGAATGAAATCAGGATGCTCCCAGGTTCTTGATGAAAACTTTGGTTTCCAATATTTTTAAGTTGTTGTTGTTTTGTTTATAGGATTTTGACTGCTCATGTTTTTCATATGCTAATCCCTGTCACCCTTCCTCCTAACCTAAAATTCATTCATGGTTCCTCCCTCTATTCTTGACCTCTCAACAACTCCGAGCCCTGTGAGAACTCTGGGCTTCTTTGGTGGGTTGGAGACTAGGTCAGGACGCCTCTGATTTCCTACAGAGTCAAGCGGCAGCTCTGAACCTTTGTTTTCTACCCTCCGATATCTCGGGAGCCCGAGGAGCATTGGTTTCTGCCGTACAATGTCGACCTTTCCATAGACACAGACGGTGGGGTGGTTCCCATCCTCAAGAGGGCAGTCAGTCCCATTCTACAGACCGTTGAAGGTGCAGGCAAGGAATGACTAAGTCTTCACTAAACCAGACTTCAACTTAGGGATATAAATCTTTGCTGAAGAGTCTGAGAAGTGGGAAGGAGGGCTCCAGGAAGGCTGCTGCTCTCCTCATGGTTCAGTTAGGGAGAGGTAAGTCCAACTCAGTGGCTCTGCAGAGAGAGAGGGAAGGATCTGAGTCCCCTCTTTTCTCCCCCACAGCCTCTGTGCCCCAAGGAGCTGTGGCACTTTGTTCACCAGTGCTATGGGAATGAGTTGGGACTGACCAGTGATGACGAGGACTATGTGCCCCCAGATGACGACTTCAACACAATGGGGTGAGCTAAGGGCAGGCTGCCCAGGGAATCGGGAGTACTCTCAAGTGAGGACCCCCCTGAGGAGGAGACAGGAAAAGAGTGCAGCCCTCAGTGGGATGATGGAGGTTGACGTCGGACCCCCCTGAGGAGGAGA